AGCACAGAGTCAAACAGTTTCTCAGAGCTTGAACCGACTAGACGAACTAATTGCTTCCTGCACAAAGGCTAACGTCCATTTGCTCCTCTTTTATGTCTTATGGGAGGGGCCAATCATCTCCAAGCCTTACTCCCAAGTCGCCCCTTTTGTCTTAACTGTTCTTGCCTTCTGGGAGCTCTGCCCGTGCGCACACTGGGAACAGGCTCCCACTGTTCTTCTGCCTCGCTGATGTCAGGCTCTGGAGGCAGCACATAACTACCAGATGGCCTTGACTGGCCCAGGTTCCTCCCCAACCTCCTCACTGTCTGACTCTGCTGCCAGCTCCGCAGGCCACCGGTGGACCGCAACAACAAGGTACGAACACATATCACCAATCAAAACCTATACAAACCATTTAAAATAAGAGTAGGATAAAGTACAATAGTTATAGGATAAGGTACAATCTAATTTAATACATTATGTTAAATAGAATAAAATGACCTAAAATTATATTTCGGAGTCACCCTTACAATCTAGCCCAATCAGTCCCACGTATGCAGATCTCTACCGAAGCATTTTGTTTTAAGTCCTGTGATGTGTTTAATGTTATTTTCCACTTCTGGACGCGCAGAAGGGAAGTGGTTTTGATAGGGGGATCCCGAGGGGTCCTTTGTTTGGTGTATGGACCAATGTACCCCTCTCTCACCCCCTTCTACAAGCAACAATCCAATAGGACCATGATGGCATGCCTGCCAGAGTTGACCCACAGAGCTCTGTTTGTGGGCACTGGCGCCATCGCCAGCTGGTCTTTACAGATGCCGGAGCGCTGGAAAACAGCCTGAAAACGGCTGGAAGAACAGCAAAAAAAAAAAAAAAAAAAAGGCTGTTTGGGGACCGTTTTTTGGCTGAAAACAGCCTGAAAAATAACCTGAAAAAGGCCAAAACCCAGCCCAAAACGGCATCCATGCGCCCGCCGGCTGGTCTTCAGGTTTACAGGGCTCCACCGCGCACACAAATACGTCTTCCGGCTTGGGCACTTGGTGCTGAAAAGGTTCGCCATCGCTGAAATAGGATGTGAGCCAGGTGGTCTTATCTGTTTCGTAAATGGATAAGGTACCCAAAAGTCGCACCTTGAAGCAGGAGGCCCGATACAGCAGCTGCACCACATGGCCGATGCTGGTTTTCGACGCCTGGGGGAACCTGGGCTCCAGGCGCTGGACCACAAACAGCACCAGGACTTTGCGGGAGAGGGCCGAGCCATCCTCCAGGGCCAACAGGACCAGTTTCAAGGCTTCCTCCTGCATAGCTGGGGAGGGACCAAAGGATGGCGTTACGGTGGGGGAAGTTGAACCAGAAGAAAGTCTCCTTTCTCTTCCTTGCCAGGAGGACTCCAGAATATCGATCTTGTCAATCTTAGACTCGCTTACAGTATTTAGTGCATTGGAGAGGGTACCCTGTCAGTGTTCCAAACATCATCCAGAATTAAATCAGAGTCCAAGGCAGAGGTTTCCTCAAAGTCCCAATTTATTAAGAGAGACATGTTGGCACATCTGTGGGAAACCCGAATCTGAAAGTTTCCTGGGTTTTCCACCCAGTTGAAAATTCATGAACTTGCCCCCACACCCACAAGTCCATCCCATGCTCCAATCTTCCACTGCCACACTGGCATTTCCACCCATCTACTTCCGGTCAGGTGCAGAGGCAAAGGATGACCTTGGGCTTCTAGAAAGGAATGTTTTATTTTGACACCACCACATTCTGCTATTCTACTCCTTACTATTCCCCCTCCCAATTCCCTACTAATGAAAACAGCATAGTAAAATAAGAGAGAGAGTGTGGCAGGCCAAAGATCCTAAAAGGAATATGACTGCAGGCCTGACATATGCAATGTTTATATTTATTGGATTTACTTATTAAATTTATATGCTGCCTTTCTCACTATTGAGCAACTCTGCCTGTTTAATATCTCGAACTGCTGTTTATTTCTGAGATAAGAATTATAACCAGGGAGAGGCAAAAGATTTTTATTTACACACA